CTTTGACAAAATTCTCAAAAACAAAAGGGGAAAAGAGGCCATCAAATGTAATTTACCATACACACATTTATCAGCAGCTACTTGGTCCTGGCCACAATGGACCTTCTGCAGCTGGCTGTCAAACCCCCAAAAGCTGCTCATCATCCACCTTCTTAGTCTCTTAGAAGGAATTTCACTTGGGTCAAAACAAGTCAACTGTCTTTCTCACCAGCAGTAATATACTGGAATAAAGTGTCAAGCATAATTCTGGCTGCCAAGATTTTGTTCTAAAGAAAAAAGACTTGTAACTATGAAAGGGAACATTAAATTAGAGCTATTGTCTGAAAGAAAAGGGCAATCTGCATCTTTAGCTTGACTGGGATAACACTGAGGTCTTGATCTGTAGTCAGACCAGAGGAAAAGGAAGCAACCAGAAAAAAGGCCACATATCACAACCCCCACCCCCAAAGAGTAAACTACTGAAAAAAAAAAAGTGTGCCAGTAGCAATGTACAAATAAAACTAGGGTCATACTTTAGAATAGATCCATGTGCTGTGCAATAAATACTAACTCTTGGTAAAGAGAAATATTACAGAAGCCTTAAACAGAGGTGTCCAATCTTTTGGCTTCCCTGGGTCACATCAGAAGAACTGTCTTAGGCCACAAATAAAATACACTAACAACAGCTGATGAGCTTAAAAAAACAAATAAAAATCACCAAAAAAACCTCATAATGTTTCAAGAAAGTTTATGAATTTGTGTTGGGCCACATTCAAAGCCATCCTGGGCCCCATGCAGCTTGTGGGCCGCGGGTTGGACAAGCTCCTCTTAAAGGATGAAGTAGACTGATGTGTACTGACACACAAAAAAATGTCCACAAAATGATGGAAATTGCAAATAATGGGTTATAAAATCTGCTAGAATGAGTGCGGTCTCATTGTTTTTCAAAGTGTAAATAAACATGGTTGTGGACAAACAAAATAATTTCAAAAGATATACAAAAACTATTAAGAATGGTTTTTATCTATGCAAAATAGAATTATGGATTATAAAAACTTTATTTCTGCTTTATAGATTTCTTTCTCCCTTCAAAATAATAAGAATGTGATTACATTTATAACCATTGTTATGTCCAGGTTTGATAAATAAAAGACAAACAGCATGATAAGCTCTTCTTCCTCTCACCAAATGAAATACCAGAGGCCTCCAAACTCATGAAATGAGGGACACATAAAGACTTTCCAAGCTGCCCAATGTCCTCAGGGAGCCATTTTCTTTCTTGCTCTTTCGCAGGGGTTTCCAATGCATCTTTTTTTTTTTTTTTAAGCAGAGCTTTTTCTTTAAGCAGAATCCTGTATGGAACCTCAAAATGTAAGATAACAGTAGAATTTCTTCTATTGAAGGGGATGGGAATGCAGAGAGCTAAAGTTATTCATCCTCACCTCCTGCAGTACCCTCTGAATATACTCAGAACTCCAGAGCACAAGGGGAAACACTGTGATTAATCCAAGTATCTCATTGTACAGTTGGGAAACTGAGGCCCAGGGATTACTCTCCAGTCATGGCCTGTCTTATTGACTGGTCTGTGGGTCACTTTACTTAACAGGCATTATAGACAAAGTAACTGGGGCCTGCAAGCTTTTCAAATACGTACCAAAAGTTTAAGAGAAACTGAAAACACACAAATTGGCTCCAATATACCAAAAGAATACTGAATAATTAAAACCAATAAATGTATAGCTAAACATCAAAAAGAAAAAGAAAAATAATGGTTCTTGAAGTTCAATATGATTCAAGCACACTACGCACCCTGGTAGCTTTGCAAATGAATACATTTTTCTATTGTCTGAGGTTTATGTTTAGCCATACCTATCCACCGAGGTTAACACAAACTAGAATCAGCTACTGAGAAAAGACAAGTGGGCCGGTGTGGAGGCTCACATCTGTAATCCCAGCACTTTGGGAGGCCAAGGCGGGCAGATCACAGGAGATTGAGACCATCCTGGCTAACACGGTGAAACCTTGTCTCTACTGAAAATACAAAAATTAGTTGGGCATGGTGGCACACGCCTGCAGTCCCAGCTACTAGGAGGCTGAGGCAGGAGAATCGCTTGAACCCCTGGGGGGTGGAGGTTGCAGTAAGCTGAGATCACATCACTACATTATAGCCTGGGCAACAGAGCAAGACTCGTCTCAAAACAAACAAAAAACTGAAAAGAGATGGGAACAATCCATTGATCAAATTCCCCAAAGACTCCAATGGCTTAAAGAGCATAATCTAACAAGATAAATGTTCACGGGCATAAGCATATCATTCTAAACTTTGGTCTAAAAAAAACCATTGAAAGGCCAGGTGTAGTGGCTCACGCCTATAATCCCAGCAGTTTGGGAGGGCAGGGGAGGCGGATCATCTGAGGTCAGGAGTTTGAGACCATGACTCTAACACGGTGAAATCCCATCCCTACTAAAAATACAAAAATTAGTCAGGTGTGGTGGCCCACACTTGTAATCCCAGCTACTTGAGAGGCTGAGACAGGAGAATCGCTTGAACCTGGGAGGAGGAGGAGGTTGCAGTGATCAGAGATTACATCACGGCACTCTATCTTGGGCAATAACAGAGTGAGACTCTGTTTCAAAAAAAGAAGGTAAAAACTAGTTGAAGAAAAATGGGATGATGGAGACTTGTGTCATCACCACAGAAAAAGTAAAAAGTTCCAGAAATATTGGTTCACAATAAGCTTAGAATGGAAAAAAAGCAACATATGCACAATGTGAACAATGACCACTCCTATATGTAGTCATGGGCACTCCACTTTCTCAAGATGCGACAAAAACCCTGTTATATTTCACTGGGACTATGAAAATGCTTAATTAACAAACAGTTAAAAAAATAAGAGGTGTTTCAATCTAAAGGACTTTAGAAATCTCTCTCATAAAATATTAAAAGACCATTATGAGGAAGAGGAATTAGACTTAGTCTGTGACCCTACTAAAAAAAAAATTAGGTAAGAAATTATGGCAGAATTCTGGTCAACAGATCATTTTACTAACAGGGGTGTATAGACAGAGTGGCTGGAAGCAGTCTGTGTTCTCCCATCACTAGATGTCTTCATGCAAATCCTAGACAACCACTTGGGGGCACTGGAGACGTGGGCCTTCATGCATTCCCACTCAAACCAGCAGACAGAAAGAAAGGTAACAAAAAAAGATTCCACCCCAGGAGAGTCTGAACCCTGGGGTCCAAAAGTATATATTAGGAAGACTGTCTCAGGTCATTTGGATACATACCCCAGATAAGACTGGGTACAGTCCTTGCCTTTCACCTGGGAGAGGAGAATCTATTGATATTCTGATGCAGTTGGGGGCATGTACAAAATGTACATACAAACAGAATTACACAAAATGGGGTGAAGCTAACCCTAAGCGAAGGCTTGGTCCTCTTTCAAGATCTCTAACCCTCTCAAAGGTGGTGTGTGCTTTAAAAAGAAAAACAAAAAACTGTAACAGCAGAAGCTGAAGAGAGGTCTCAGAGAAATGTAACCAAAACTCTTCTACCATAGTCTTAAAACATTTTATACAGTTGCCGTATAATTAAGAAATTACAAAGGAAAGCAAGTTTCATTAATGTATTGTTTTCCTTTTCCCATCTCTGAAGATTACACTCTATATGGTGAAATTAATGCTCCAATAATACCTTAATTAATGCTAAAATCTTGACCATCCCTAACAGCCTAGAGACCCTGAGAAAGGACTTAGACTTGTTTTACTTTGCCTTTTAAATTTGTACACAGATGTAGTCCTCTGATTTCTCACGACAAAGCAGAAGCGGTAAAGCAAAATAGAGAGTAAAAACATATGGAAGAAGAAAAAAAATAAAAGAGAAAGCAAACAAGAACAAGCGAAGTACAATCAGCTGGTATTATTTATGTAGGGACAAACCAGTGCCACAGGCCTCAATTGCTTGTAATCTTATCAAAAGGCAAGCATTCCATTAATATACCTGAGTAATGTGTTTTTGAAAAACACATGAGCAACCTAAAAATACATATGTCAGCCATTTTGGAAGCCTGTTTGGCAATGTCCTACAAAACTAAACATACTCTTACCATAGGATCCAACAATTGCACTCCTTGGTATTTACCCAAATATGCTGAAACTTAAGTCCACACAAAAACCAGCACACAAATAAATATTCATAGTAGCTTTATTCATAATTGCTAAAACTTGAACACAACCAAGATGTCACTCAGTGTGTGAATGATAAACAACTTGTGGTATATCTATACAGTGAAATATTATTCAGCATTAAAAAGAAATGAGCTATCAAGCCATGAAAAGACATGGAGGAATCTTAAATACATATTGCTAAGTGACAGAAGACAATCTGAAAAGGCTACATTTGTATGAGTCGAACCATATGGCATTCTGGAAAGGGCAAAACTACGGAGAAAGTAAAAAAAATGGTTGTCAGAGGTTAGAGAAAGGGAAGATGGGAGCACCAGGACACTTTTGGAGTAGTGAAATCATTCTGTATGATTATATACTTGTCAAAACTCACAGACTGCACAAACACAAAGAATGAACTTGAATGTAAACTATGGAATTCTGTTAATATTGGTTCATCAGCTATAACAAATCTGTCACACTACAGCAAGATGTTAATAAAAGAAACGGGTAGGAGACGGTATGGTAACTCTCCATATTCTCCACTGAGCTTTTCTATAAAGTTAAAACTCCTGTAAAAAATAAAGTATAAATATTTTTAAATATAGATGTAACAAAACAATATTCCCTTAAGAAATCATGGTCAAATGGGGTACAAGGATTTTCAGGCATGGTCAGGAGCTCCTCCAATCTAAATCACCACAGCCTGCCGTTATATAATACTGAATACTTTCACAGATTTATAGTTCATATATTACAAATTTGTTACGCATATATTACAGTTTATAAATATTCTTAGTTATATATGTATATATATACATGCACACATATCACTTATAGTTAATAAGTATGAATACCTAGTGCTGAACACATCTGAATGTAAATAAAGGATGAACAGTGGTGGGAAAAGACTGAGCAGTCAGGAGGGTGGGTCAGCTGCATCCAGTGAAGATTCCCTGATGCTGGTGGAGGCCTCCCCCTACCGCCACTGGTGAGAGAAATGCCTCAGACCGCTGCTTCTTCACTTTAAACAATGGTTTGGTGGAGCTCATTTGCCAACACTAGCCTTTGTTGGCACTTGTCTTAAATTGTGTATCATGCTTTTCCAGCTCCCTCCCTGTAGTGGCATAGGATGTTAATAAAGATCTAACTAAAAAGTGCACAAGAGTTCAAAGGCATTTAGAACAACAGGAGTCACAATGCAGTTCAGTAAGTCAGTGCTTTCCACAGTGACATCGAATTGCCAAGAAAAGATAAAATTGTAAACACACCACAGTATTCTGGCTTAATGAGCACAGAAATACTTGTGGGCTTCTTCTGCTTTTCCTGTTTCCCATAAAAAATGGTTAAAACCAAAACAGTACTTAATGTTTAATGAGATAAGCATCACCTATCTGGAAAATCAGTTTACTAGAAACATCTCATATAAATGTAAAAGCATGTTCAGCAATACAACTCTTTCCAGATGCCACTTCCACAGTGTTTGCATACTAACAAACAGACTATCAATATCTGGTATAGGTAGTAAATTTAGAAAGTATGTCTGATATATAATGCTCATTCACTTTCTTTCCCTTTTCAACTAAGAATCAATTAAAATGGGATTACAGGCTTGATGTAACCGTTTTGCAATTTTATATAATCCTTAAAACCGGGTCCCTTCTATATTAAAGAGTACCAAAAAATACATACATTTAAGTGGGAAGAGAAGACACAAAGGAAAAAAAACAAAATATTGACTGTGGTATTGGATAGCTGGGCTACAGATTTTTATCATCTTCATACTTCCCTTTATTTTTAAAATTCTCTACCAAAAACATATATTACTTTCACACTCCATTATACCAAATATCTACAGCATTTAAAATGAGTAAACTATAACTACATGTACCAATTAAGTTTAACCTCTTATACAAAGTTTAAAAACATATAAAACATTATACTTTTTAGTTTTCCCTGCAATCCAAAGACTGTTACTTTTTTTCAGTGGATACATATACACATAGAAAAAGTTTGTAAAAATGCAGGGGGAGAATGATAAATACGAACTGAGAATAATGGTCACAGCTGGGAAGGGAGGGGATTAGGATGGGGAAGGGGTGCCCAACAAGCTTCAACAATAACTGTGATTTCTATTACTTTAGGTAGTAGGTGTATGAAATTTGTCATATCGTTCTATATCCTTTTTTATGCCTAAAGTATTTCAAAAATTGTTTAAAGTGGCAACTACTGGAAGCATACCAAAAGTAGTAGGGCTTAACCCTAATCTCTTCAAACTACTTAAATGGGGTTATAATACTGAGTAAATCAGAGATCAATTTATCTTTTTTTTCTTCTGTCTTTTGAGATGAAGTTCTGCTCTTGTTGCCCGGGCTGGAGTGCAATGACAGGATCTCGGCTCACTGCAATCTCAGCCTCCTGGGTTCAAGCGATTTTCCTGCCTCAGCGTAAAAAAATCCCCAAGTATCTGGGATTATAGGCATGTGTCACCACACCTGGCTAATTTTGTATTTTTAGTAGAGACGGGGTTTCTCCATGTTGGTCAGGCTGGTCTCGAACTCCTGGGCTCAAGCAGTCCTCTTGCCTTAGCCTCTCGAATAGCTGAGATTACAGACGCAAGCCACTGAGCCTGGCATATAATGAGAAATTTTTTTGAGAAATTTAAAGCAGTTCTGAAGGTCAGCAGTCATGTATATGCATAAGCAAACAGCAATCTGAAATCTGTGTTCCACAAAATATCTGTAGCAAACATTCCAGTCTATGCCTTACACACATAACTCAAAATTAAATCTGTCCAGTAAACTTAAGTACATACCTTATTTTGAATATGCCTTTTTTTTAAAACACACTTATAACTCTGAAAGAATATTTTTTACTTTGGTCAGTTTTAAACAGTCTTCTAAGAATATCATAAAAATAGCATTAATTTCTGATTGGTATTTTCCAAATCGGTGATTTCAAATAATTTCTAACCATTCCTGGTTATCAGATGGTTTTAGTTTATCATTTTATGGTATGCTGTGGTACAATTAGGCAGAGGAAATCTAAGGAAACACTGAATAGGCTTCTCCCTAAAACTCAAATTCCTGGCCAGGCTCCATTGCTCACACCTATAATCCCAACACTTTAGGAGGCCAAGGTGGGAGAATTGCTTGAGCTAGAAGTTTAAGACCAGCCTGGGCAACACAGTGAGACCTCATCTCTAGAAAAAAATTTAAAAATTAGTCAGGCATGAGCTACTCGGGAGGCTGAGGTGAGAGGATGGCTTGAGCTCAGGCATTCAAGACCAGCCTGGGCAACATAGGGAGACCCCAACTCTACAAAAAAAAATTAAAAAGAAGACAGGCATGGTAGTGCACACTTGTGATCCCAGTTATTCAGGAGGCTCAGGTGGAAAGAATCCTTGAGTCTGGGAGATCAAGGCTGCAGTGAGCAGTGATCACGTCAGGGCAACAGAACAAGGCCCTATCTCAAAAACAAACAACAACAACAACAAAAATTTTTTTTAAATCAAGTTCCTGAGATTCAAAAATAATCAAGGATGTTAAAATGTCCCTGGGTCTCTTGTTATAGTCTCACTCAACTTTATGAAAAGCAACTAAGCAAACTGATATGAGAAAGCTCATGAAAATGTCCCACATAAAGGCAGAAACTTCAGCTCAAGTATTTTAAGTATCAACTTCAAAGTTATAATGTTTTCATAATATAAAAAATTTTGCTCAAAACAACATATGAGTGTTTCATTTATTGGTCCTCAGCATTTGATACTGATTTAAAATCAATTTAGGACAAAAAGGAGGTCAAAGTTCAAAATGTCTAAAAAATAATTTTTTAGGTTAATATAAAACTGGTTTAAATATTCCAAGTATTTGAACTGATCAATCTTTTAATTAATCTACCTTCTTTAAAAGAATAAAAATACTCTGTTTTAAAGCAATGCCTTCACCCAATTTTACACTTTAATTTCTGTGAGGACAAAATAATCTGACAATTTACCCAGTGTAGTCAGACTGTTTCTTATTCAGAAAACCGCCTCTTCAAATCCAAAGAATATAAGATTTATAGAAAACAAAGGTTTCCTCGGACGTCTCACAACAACAAAACAGAAAGAAGCCCAACATATTATTTAGAAAGCAGAAGAGGAATAAAATGTATTTCTTAACTCACTATGGGAAATCAAAATGATTTAACAGTCACCTTCTATAATCCCTTTTGAAAAGACATTACTAGATCAAGCACAAGCAGAGACCTATTGAAATTTAAATTGGATGTTTGCTTTTCAGATCAGATCCATCCTAGTTGAGGATCCTCTAAGAGACCATTACAAATTTAAAGACACAAAAAATAGAGGGCTCATTAATAGGAGCCAGGCAAGGCTCAGACTGTTAGCTCTGCAAGTACTATCGCCTTATGGTTTGTTCTTTTATTTCATCATTTGCATTTACCAAGTATATATCACATACATTTCATTTGTCACTCTAGTCTCACAAATGTCTATGGAAAAGCTGCCTGATCAAGACCGCCTGGATGGATGGGAGACTGCCTACATTAATTTTACTCACCAAGTTTTGTCCTGTTTAAATGTCAGCATACCACATTCATTAAACAAATATCCTTTGTGCACCTTTTCTGTGTAAAGTTCTGGACCAGGAACTGAAAGGGGATATTAGGATGATTAGTTTGACCCTCAAATAGCTTAACAGTAGTTCTCAAAGTAACCCATGGGAGTCTGGAGGGGTCCTTGAGACTCATCAAGTGATCAGTGAGGTCAAAATTATTTTCATAATAACTAAAATGCTATTTGCCTTTTTTCAATGCATTTATATTTACACTTATGATGCAAAAGCAATGGTGGGGTAAACCTACTGACACTTAGCACAATTTAAGGTAACATCACAAACTATACTATAGCCATTATATCCTTTGCCTTCATGTGCTCATGGTAAAAAGGAGAAAAAAATGTCCATTTTATTTAAGAATGTGCTTGATGAGAGTGAATATTAATTTTATTGACTCTTCTCCCCAAAGTTCATGTCTTTTTAACTCTTCTGTGTAACAAATGGAAAGTATGCATAAAGTACTCCCGTTGCATTCAGAAGTGTAATGGCTGTTTCAAAAAGCATGTGTATGGGCTGGGTGCGGTGGCTCACCCCTGTAATCCCAGCACTTTGGGAGGCTGAGGCAGGCAGATCACCTGAGGTCAGGAGTTCAAGACCAGCCTGGCCAACATGGTGAAACCTCGTCTCTACTAAAAATACAAAAATTAGCTGGGCATGGTGGCGGGAGCCTGTAATCCCAGCTACTCAGGAGGCTGAGACAAGAGAATCATGTGAAGGTGGAGGTTGCAATGAGCTGTGATCACACCACTGCATTGCAGCCTGGGTGACAAAGGTGATACTCCGGCTCATTAAAAAAAAAAAAAAAAAAAAAAAAAGTGTGTGTGCCTTATGTTGCAAGCTGAATTAGCTGCTTTTTTCAGCAGGAATACCATTTTTACTTAAAAGAGTGGCTGACAAACTATATTGACTATATTGTTCTTCAGATCTTGGTATTTGACAGACATTTTCTCAAAATTTAAAAGTGGACCTGTTACTTCAGTGGAAATAACTGACAATATTTGTTGCCAATGATGAAGTTTGATATTTGAAGTGATAAGTAGAATTTTGGAAAACTTGTATCTGCTATAGTGAGCCTGAAAGTTTTCCATTACTTAAAAGCCTCTTCTGATGAGATTAGTGGTGATGATAAAGAATGTGACTTTTGTATCAATATTTGGAAGATCTCCATAAACTTGATAAATTAATATTTTCAAAATCACCAATAGATGATGTTACAAAATTACAGATGGGTTAAAAGATCCATTCATAGAGCATGACAAACCAATAGGCTTTAATGTAAGAGTACAGTTATAATTTCAGATTTCACATTGCAACTCATCTTTAAGAAACTACCACTGCTGAGTTTTAATATACCAAAGAATATCCACAATTATCTGAAAAGGCTCTTAAAATACTCTTTCAACCACATATTTGGTATGAGACCAGATCTTCTTTTTATACTTTAACCAAAGCAACATACTACAGCAGACTGAGTACAAAAGCAGATGAGACTTCAGCTGTCTTCTCTCAAGCCAGGCATTCAATAGATTTGCAAAAACTGTAAAATATCATGTTTCTCACTAAATTGTTTTTTGTTTTAAAAAAGTTATTTTTTATAAAATATTAACATAATTAAAATATTAACTTTTTAACATGTACAAGGTTATTTTTGAAATTAAGAAATATTTTTAAATTTTCTGTTTTAACTTCTAACAGAGTATCAAAAGTTATAACATGCAGAAATAAAAGCTATTATATTGGGAGTCCTCAATAATTTTAATGAGAGTAAAAGGGTCATGGGACTAAAGATCAAGAACCACTGGCTTAGAGTATGAGAGAGAAAAAAAACACAAATAATAATCCAAGGAAGAACGTGTGATGATTGCCAGAGCCCTACTATTCCTGGGCATTCCAGCTCTTCCTAAACTAGACCTATGCTACTTACCAGGCTCTTGAAATAATTTATTTAGCTCTACTGTCAATATAATAAAAATGAGTAATTCATTTAGCAAGCATGAAAAAGGTACAAGCAATATCAAGATAATGTGTTAAACTAATTTCAATTGATGGGTTTTTCTTTACTTGCTTTCTAAATAAGTGACCTGAATTAAAATTAGTTTTATTTCCCTGGTAGTTTTATTTCCCAGCCTATAAAGACAATTCTTTCACAAAAGACTATATAATCCAGTCAATTCCCTTGAAAATGCACCCCATACAATCAAATTAGTAACGGAAAGCTATGGAATTTGGTGCCCTATCTATTTACAGAACAAAAAACTTGGGAGCCCTACAATGGTCTTGAGGATCAGGATACAGAACATTATTCTTTTTTAAAAAAAGCACTTTTGCTGGGCACAGGGGATCATGCCTGTAATCCCAACTATTTGGAGGACTGCTTGCCCTCAGGAGTTTAAGACCAGCCTGGGCAAGACGGTAAGCCTTGTATCTACCAAAAAAATAAATAAATAAAATTGGCCAAGCATGACGATATGCACCTATAGTCCCAGCTACCAGGTAGACTAAGGTGGGAGGATTGAACAGGGGAGGCTGAGGCTGCAGTGAACTGAGACTGTGCCACTGCACTCCAGCCTGGGCAACAGAGGGAGATCCTGCCTCAAAGAAATTAATTATTTAATTAATTAATAAAAGCACTTTCTGGAGAACCATATGCATATATGCTATCATTTGTGTTTTTAAAAAGGGAAGGACACAAACACACAATTTCTACTTAGCCTACCTGGAAGAATATGCAAGACACTGGTAGTAGTGGTGGTTTCCAGAAAGGAAACTGGGAAACCCACTTTTTACTGTATTCCTTTTAACAATGTGCACGTAGTACTTACTCAATTCAATACTAACCTAGTTAGGTTTGAATATTTTAAAAATACCATTTTGCCTACTTCTCGAGTCTTTTATCTCAAATGCAAATTCCAAAAATACTAGTAGATACGAAAATCATTAGATGTACATTTGTTACTTTAGCAATGGATAAACATCTCACACTTGACAGAAGCATCTAAAGCAAGGTGTCCATCACCTGAAGGTGATCAGCCATTGATTACCTGAAGCAGTACCTCATTTCCTGATTACAGAAGGAGAATCAAGATGCATCCATCTGCCCAATATAATTGGTGTGGTTGCTACTTCTTTCCTTTTTTGTATTCATTATGGCATTTAAGAAATCTGAATAGCACCAAAGCAGGTAAGTTCAAATGCTCCTTTAAGTCACCCACCAACATTAAATTCAGCATTCATTCAGCTCCTACTATGCACTAGACAGTATGACTTAATGTAACACTTGTAACACATAATGTTATATGTTAGAGGGTACCCTTGGATCTAAACACTTAACTATCCAATACAGGTTCAATCACCAATGAAAAAGATTTAGAGGTTTTGACCAATTCTCGGTTTTTAATGAGCCAACTGTATGACGTGGCTACAGATAAACCTAATTCAAACTTAGACTACCTCACAGTTGGCTAAATGGTGTCCAGAACACAATAAAATCAGAGCCACTGTAGTCTGTATTTATCAGACCAGCCCTACAACTTGTGCTGGGTTCTATACCACACAGGATACTCAGGGATCCTGACAGCAGTGCAATATAGTCACAGTAGTTTGGTAAGTGGAAGGCAACACTGGCAACATTGAATGAGTTAGCAGCCATGTGCCAAGTATTTCATATGAATTTTCCTTATATCTTCACAAATCAATAATAAGGCATTATTGTCCCTGCCTTAAAATTAAGGCAATTCAACCAGGGATGGTAGCTCATGCCTGTAATCCCAGTGCTGTGGGCGGCCAAGGTGGGAGGATTACTTGAGGCCAGGTGTTTGAGACCAGCCTGGCCAACACAGGAAGACCCTGTCTCTAAAACAAAAATGAAAACATTAGCTGGGCAGGGTGGCACATGCCTGTAGTCCCAGCTACTCAGGAGGCTAAGACAGGAAGATTGCCTGAGCCCAGTAGTTTAAGGCAACAGTGAGCCATGATTGTACCACTGCACTCCAACTGGGGAGACAGCGCTAGTCTGTTTCTAAAAAAGTAATAAATTTAAAAATAAATTAAGAAGATTCAGACTCAGAAAGGTTAAGTAACATGCTCAAGGTTGCAAACTTAGTAAGTGGCATTAATAGAATTTAAGCCCAGAGTCCTATCGTGGACTAAATGGTGGCTCCCAAAAAGGTATGTCCACATGCTTACCATTGGCACCTGTGAATATTACCTCATTTGAAGAAAGGGTCTTTAGAGATGTAACTAAGAATTCTGAGATCATCCTGAATTATCTAGGTGGGTCCTAAATCCAGTGACAAGTGTCCTTTTAAGAGTGAAGCAGCTGGAGATTACACAGAGGAGACAATGTGACCATGGAGGCAGAAACTGGAGTGATGTAGCCACAAGTCAAGGAATGCCACCAAAGGCTGGAAGAGAAAAAGAAGATTCTCCCCCAGAGCCTCCTGAGGGAGTGCTGCCCTGTGGACACCTTGATTCCAGACTCCTGGACTCCAGAACTGTGAGAGAAAACATTTCTGTCTCTTAAAACCACTAAGTTTGTGGTTTTATGGCAGCCCCAGGAAACGAATACAGTCCACAAACTCTCTCTCCAGCATTCCCTATTACCTTCCCAAGACTGAAGGATCTAGGGATATGTAAACTAAAATAGGGACAACTCAGACAACAAGGAAAATGAAAACTATACTTGCTTTTGCAAGCCCTACAGAAAAGAGTAAAATCAGTAGGTAAAAATTTTGGGGATACCACTTTGGAGGCTGAGGCAGGAGGATCCCTATAGCACAGGAGTTTGAGAGCAACCTCCTGGGCAATACACAGACACTGTCTCAAAAAAAAAAAAAAAAAAAAAAAAAATTTCAGTTGGAAATTTTTTTTTTCCCCACAGCACTGCCTTAACAAAAATTTTCTAACCATCAAAATATCTTAAAGACTAACCAGACTTTTGGTAGGTGGTTACATTTCCTATCATTGAATGTGTTCAAGGAGAGACTGAAGACTTTCAACTTTGGAAAGCAGAGCTGTCTTAGATGATTTAGAATC